TCGAACTAGCGTTTAAACATGTTGTTTTTTTTTTTTGTTGTTCTCTATCCTTAATTGGCAAGATATGGTAACATGGGTAAGATGTGATGAATATGGTTTTGCACTTTGAGGTATATATGACTAGGCTATATTTTTAAGAAAGCTTTAACAACATCTATTGCAAGTATGTGTTATTTTCAATTCTTCCTTTAGATTTCATGCTGATATGAAAGCTTAGCTTAGATAAGCCCTTGATTGTCTCTGTAGTATTCACTGACTTTTATCTGTCTTGGCATATCTTGCCAAACAAGTGTTTCTGAAAGTAACAGGGCATTTCATTATTTGTGGCTTCCAAGCCAAAAAACAAACCTCTGTAGTTGGCTGTGTGATCTCTGCCAAATGCTTACATTACTTGTAATCGGTCTGTATTGATTTGGGAGAGGATCTAGTCCTTTATCAGAAGATACATCCTGCCTGCTTGGCTTGGTGTTGCTGTGATAATTTTTTTGTTGGCTTTATCCTTCTTTATTCTTTAATGTGTTTCCTTATGGGTATAATTTCATGAGGTGAGCTTGGGTCATGTGTCAGTCTTAAAGACTTTGAAGATATGTGTGCCCTAGTTTCCTGCTAAAATAAGGAGGAACCTACACTTTCTGTGTGTGATTCTTGATGTGGTTGGTATTCCTTTGAAACCATGCTTCTTTGAAAATTTTGTACTTCTTTATGTTATGCATACCCTTTCAATTTAGAGACTAGACATTTCATTTTCAGATTTCATGTATTTGTTTATTCTTTGTGAAGGCTGATCTGCTGCCTCAAGACCATTAAGCCATTCTGTTCTATTTTTATGTGGATCTTACATGAGTGAGAGAAACTTCCTTTAGTAAGAAAAATACGAATATCATATTTCTTTTTAAGAGCAAGAACTCATAATTTGAAAGGGACTTTAACAAATACAACATCATGAAATACTCATAGAAGAATTTAAATTTGAAAGCAGTTGCATCTGATTTTTCTTTCTATTAATCTCTCATGGGTAGGACTCACTAGAAAGCCTGTCAGAGGACTCCATTTCATATTTACTGAGTGGTGTGCCTTATGTGTACAGCCTCCAGAGCCTTTATATTTATTTCATGAACATTTTGTAATTTATAAGTGGTATTATCTCTGAGCTTTGTTGGTTGGTGTTTGATATGACAGTATTGAATGAAACCTGCAAAAGTGGTTGGGAAACGTGGGGCAAAAGAGAGTTCAGGGAGACTAAGATGAGAACCCCGACACTCAGAACTGTAGATCTCCTCATTGCTGAACTAGGGAATTCCTGTGTGTTTCCCCTATCAGAAAGTAAGTTCTTCAGCATTGCTAATTTCTGTGTAAATAGAGTTTTATAAATGAAGAACCCATGAAATTCAGCCTCCACCTGCTTTATGCAGTGAAATGTAATTCTTCGTGTTATTACTCTTCTAACCTCTTTTGGGAATCTTGCTTAGGACAACTGCTTATTGCTCTAATAGTTTTGCTTAAGCACAGCAGAAAACCCATGTGTTACAGCAATATTACTATCACTCAGGGCATTTTATTGTAGTAATTGAGTTGTGGAAGCTGTAGGGCAATTAAACTACTGTTATTTTTAGTTTAGGTAGCATAAAGAAGATAGAGGATAAATAAAGCAAGCATCAATATTTGAAAAGAGGAATTGTTCTGGGTTAATAAAAGCAATAAACATTTAACTCCCGCTTCTGAAATTGGCATGTATACAGAGCATGAGAGAAAAATTTGCTAATGTTTTCATTCTTGCTGTCCAGCAGTTTCATTTGGAATGAACCCTTTGTGTTCTTGGCACATAAAATAATTGTGAAATAACTGAGATTTATGAAGAAAGGTATAGTGCAATATAATCTGGAAGAAATGAGTATCAAGTTTGTTTGGGGATAATTTTGGAGAACTAATATATCTCATAAAAATATCAAGCTGATACACTTTGAGGCATTTTCCTTTTAGATCTCCTTTTAGATAGCAACTGAGCTGGAGGTTGTTAACATGTGGTGGTTTTCCTTAGTGCCAGGAACTAAGGAAACTAATCCAAGAACAGGTTGGTATTCTGCACTCTTACAGATTGACTTCTGTCACTTTCTTCTGCAAAAGCGGATAACAGGTCATTGGCAAGAGCAAGGAGTTGATCCCAGTCTTAGGTGCTTTAAGTATTTAGGCTACAGAAGAAACAACTGTTTATAATGTGAAGTATAAATAATTTTACTGAAGTAGTTGTTTTGTTGAATGAATGCTCTTTTGTGTTTGGTCATCAAAGTCTTGGAACCTGGAATTATAAAAGGTCACCTAATTTTTCAGGGTAAGGTAAGTATTTTGGGCTATTCCTGATGCCTTGTTGTCATCATGCTCCTTCTTTTATTCCTGGGTCTTTTGGATCTCATTGAACAAGTTTCTAAAAGTAATCAGTAATACCTCAGAAATTGCTTTGGCTGATTTCTGAGCTGTTCAAGGTAAATTTCATTGGACACTGTTGTTCTGGATGCTTACAACTTTTCAGAGTTGTCTGTTACCTGTTCTAACATCTGTCTCTGTCTTTTCTGGTGTCTTCAGGTGAAAACACAGAACATACTGACTATGTGTATCACTCATTGCTTTCTTTCCTCTGCTGTTATGTTGTGGTTCTCTTGTCTCCTGTTTACTCCTAATACATATGTAGGATCTTTTTTTATGCCTGTAAGCTGGAATGGATTTTGTACCTTAGCCTTTTTTAACTTACTACTTTATTAGGGTGACAGAATAGTACAAATATATTATGCTACGTTTTTCTGCATGTGCTTTTGGGCGTTTAATTGGTTGTCTTTCCTTTACTTTGTTGCCTCTTGGTTTCTTGAGTTCATGGAGACATTCTAGACCTGCTTTGATTTCCTCAGGGGAAGTTCTAACACTTCTTTTTCCATTTCTGTCCAAATTGTCTCTGTTACCAAAGACTCTTTCCTCCCAGCTGATCAGAAACAAAATAATACCTTTTCTTCACTTCTTGAAACAAAACATGACTCTGACTACGTCTTGGGATTTTTAGACTAATAACCTGTCTATCTGTTGAAAGAGCAATGTATCAGGATACAGTGATCCCTTTATAGTCCTATCACTTGCCTTTAGCAGCCAGCCCTTGCAATTGCTCAGCAATACTGTTTTTTTCTCTTTTGGTTGAATGTCTTGACACAGCTTCTGTTTTTCTTCTGTTTGATTTCCATACTACATGTTCAACAAGTCTGAACTTTGGAATGAGGCAGAGTACATCACATGTATCACACTTTTGGAACAGGTTTCCCCATTTAAAGGAGCATTCCTGTCTCTCTTATGTCCCTGCATGTCTACAGTGCCAGATATGATGCCAAATCTAATATGAGGCATGTAGAAAGACTTTATTCCTCCTGTTTTAAAAACACAGCAGGTGCAATGTGATCAAAGATCCATACAGTGCGGTAGCTTGTCTAAGGGAAGAATAACAGATGCCTAAAGGAAGAATACATCAAGTAGATGGTAATGCTTCCCTAATAGACTTTTCCAATGCTTCCCTAATAGACTTTTCCAGCTTTCCATACATTAGTCCGTGACTTTGTTATTATGTATGACTGTAGCTTATATTCATGGCTGTTTGGTAGATGGCCCATTATTCTTCCCTAGTGTTTTTCTTGTAACAATTGCAGTTTCTATTCTAATCTCCTGGTGGTTGGTTCACTTTTTTTTAAATAACTTTTTTAATCTTACATTTTCATTAGTCCTCCTTTAGCTGAGAGATTAATAGTTTCTTCCTAGTTTATTCCGAAAGAAAAGAAAATCCTCTTAGGAAATGTCTTTTACTTTCTGTGGTGATGAGAAACTAATATCAAGTTGTTGGTTTTTTTTAAGCTTGTCTAAAAAAAGATAACTGTAGAGTTGCACTGTTCCTGCCAAGTTTCCACCAGAAGTAGGTTATTACTAAGGAACTGTAAACTGTTGAAAAAAAACATCTGTAATGGAAGCGGTGGTTTAACTGTAATGCTTGTGGGCATTTTCAAACAGCATAGCTTTTCCACCTCCTGACTTTCAAACTTGCCGAGTACCAGTTCCTTGCTGCTAACGTTGCTTTAGTCATCACTCTGTGTATATATAGTGGCAAATATTTTGTTCAGGGTGGTTCAACAGAGTGTTATTTCTAGCCTGATACACAAAACAAATGTAAATTTAAATCTATGGCTTCCTTTTTGGTTTTGGTGGCATACACTTCCCAGTGGCATCCAAGTTATGACTGGTGCAGTATGTAGTTAAAGAAAAGCTACACTATTTTCACTAGAGGAGCAATAAAAACATTTTGATTTAAGTTGATGGTAGTACATATAAATAGATGCAATTTGAAATCTGTCCAACTTTATAAATCGCTTGAATATTTTCAGGTCCCACATCTACGCTATTTCCTTGTTTTCTTGTATTAGTCATTTTTCCATGTTTCCCTTCTGTCCTCAGTTGTGGGAAAAAGGAAGAAACAACAAAGCTGTCAGAGAATGTGAATGAAGAGAGGTGATCGACTTTCTATAGTTTGTTCCTGCTTAGAAATGAATTTTAAATAGGAGTATGGCCCTTTTTATTTTAGTGTTAGTCCCCAGCTGCAGGGATTCCATAGTGTTCAGTGTTCACTTAGAGTTGTTGAACACCATCATCTCTCCAAGCTCAAGTGAGCAAACATTTCCCCAGCTTTTTAATCATTAACTTTGCAACAGCTTTGATTTCTTAAAAATGACACTACTAAAAATCTTTGTCACCTGTATTAAGTAAATGCCTTCTGAATGCCTATTCATTGCAGTACTAGGAATTGTCATGAAACATGTCTCGTTTTTTAGGAGTACATGTAGCAGTTTACTTCTGTATATATTCCACAACATGCATTTAGAATTCTTGCATTTCTTGTTTCAGAAATACTATGGAATCTCCGCAGCCCTGTAGGTTTGGAAGGCTTAAACCCAAGTTCAGGAAGGCTTTTTCCATTCCAAATGATTTACTGGCTTAAGCGCTTAATTAGGATGGCTTTTGAACAAGTTGGAATAAACATGGAATCGGTAAGTGTTTCAAACTTGTTTCATGTGTTCAGAAAATCAAGTATAGAAAGCACTTAATGTATTTTAGTTTGTGCTTATCTGTTCCAGCAGAACACTTTTAAGTATCATACTCAGTCTCGTATGATTCTGCATTGCTGAAAATGTATGAAGCTTAGTACTTGGACACTGAAGAATTGAGCAATATATGTGTTAAAAATACCATGCAGTTCCTTCTAGCTCTAACGACAAACTGTTTACATTGTAAACACTGCTTTTTCTGCAGGACTTCTATGCGTTCTGAGGCTGAAGGAAAATTTTCAACTGATTTTTAACGGTGATGTTAATTCTTAAATGATCTTATTTCTTTGCTCTTATCTTGGAGATATGAAAAGCCCCATGAAACTGAGATGATGATAATTGTGCTCTACTTACCTCTCCTGAAAGTGTTACAGTACATGAGAGGAACACAGTTGTGTTCTTTACTGGGGAAAGAGAGGAATGTGCATGCATAGCTCTCCTCTTGGAGAAAAGTGTTTATAGGGTTTTCTCTGAATGTTTAGTGGAGAGGGATCTGCTACACATCAACTGCTTTGTCACTGGGACCTTTAGGAAGCTATTTTGAGTAGAAGTATTGACCTCAATGCAGTAATCCCTATAAGCTGTCGAAATATTTCAATGTTTTAACAATGGGAAATCTTTAAAACAGGTATGTACAGTACTTAAAAAGGCAGTTACTCTGGATTATTGTGGTAGAACCTTTTATCAATCTTGGCAGTTTATGGAGAGCAAAATATTTATACATTGTAAATTAAAATTACCAGTAAGAATCTGTATTTTAGGATTTTATTCAAACTTGGATCTGAGATTTCATGCAGTATAACTTTGAAAATTCTGAGTACGAGAGTGTGCTGGGCTACTATGAGCGTTGCTGTGGTCATTGTCATTAACATCTTTCAGTCTAAATAGGGCGGGAAGAAACAAGTTTTTAATCTGTTTCCCCCCATTCTCTACTTGTATCAAGCTTGTGATAATGCAATTACATTTCCAAGTGTCAGCTGTTCTGGGCAACAGAAAAACACTGGTGCAATAAGAGGGTATGACTAAGTGGTGTTTTGCAGACTTGCTCTGCCAGTGCTTCAAGTCCGCAAGAAGTTGTGTGAACTTGGGTAGAGCAGTGCTGAGACTTACTAGCTCAGCTGAGCAGTGTGCTGGCTTTATTTGCATACCTTTTGGCACAGCTTGTATGCAATTTCTGAAAATATTGTCCAAGCATATCTTGAATTTCCAAAACTGGTGCACCAAACCACTGTTGTTGAACAATCCCAAGGGCGTTTGGGCACCAAATATTTTTGAGGATCTTGGTTCTAGTCAACATCTTGTCTGTGGTCTGAGCGATATCGAAACAAGTTTTGCCACTTGTTTAAAATGTGCTGCACTTGTGTTGGTAATACAGCATGTAGTCTAGGCTCTTTTGCTGTTGTGGAAGTACTTCTGTAATTAATTAAGCCTTCCTTTGACTAGTATTGTTTTTTCCAATGTGACATTGCTTTGGGACTATCGCCAACACTTCTGCTTCTAACATCAGAATCTGTTGTGAATAGTGAGGCTGTATTACTGTGGTACTATTTGTCAGTGACTGTTTCTTGAAGGCTCCTGATCTACCTGTTATTTGCTCAGACATACAGACAAACAGTAATGTGATAGTCACAAATGTGAGGTCTTTGAGGAATTCAAAATGCAGGATCAATAGAGTACTCTGCATTGAAAAAATTTGTGTTCAAACTTAGCAGCATATGAAGCAAGAGAATATATGTTTCACAGAATGGAGAAAATGGGTCTGAGTGGATTCATGGCAAAGTTGCAGCTCTGATGGGAGGATCTAGCATAGCATATAGGTAGTGCACATTTATTTTGTCAAAATATATACATTCCAATAAAGAGAAAGGAAAGATACTTGTTTAGAAAGAAGAAAAATGTTTGTGTGAGGTTTCTGAGATAATACAGTCTGGGGATAAATACCAGGAAGCATATTTTTTTCTTTTTAATAGAACCTTCAGAATCTAAGAGTAGTGATCTTTGCTTAGTATATCAAAATGTTATTCAGCTGTGTGTTGTGAAACTCCCAGAGCCGCACTACACTAATCACACAGGCAATATTGCCATAACAGATGAGAGTTGTTTTAGTGTTAATAGCCTGGATTTTATCGAAGTTTTCTTTGTTGGGCAATCTTCTAACAGGATGTTGAGTTTGCTTGAAGCTATGAGCCTTCAAAAATGAGGGTCTGAGTAGTAAATTTATATCTACAGCCATAAGTAAACACTGGCCAAATTTTTTAAATTACCATACAGTATTCATATTGTTTACTAACAACATGCTCTGTGTTAGAGTCTTCCCATTATTCTTTTTTCTTCTTTGCATTGTTTTTCTTGCCTTTCCTTGTTCTGAAATCTTTCCTACTTCTCTCTGGACTTTTTTTTTTGCTTCTGTTCTGGCTCATTTTGTAGTATTTTCCTAGGATTAAAGTCTTGTTTCATACAACTGTGGTAAGTAGTAGAGCAAACATTCCCGTCATTAAGTGCAACAAAAGAAAGCAAATTCAATTCCTGTTGAAACAATGTAGAAGAACTTTGAACTGCAGTAGAAACAGTTCTGATGAAGCCAGAGGTGTTGAGGTGCTGTGTGCAATTTTCTCTAGGTGAATGTAATTTTTTTTTTTTTTTTTAGGACAAAGTTTAATTCTCATATATTTATTTTCCCCCTTTCCCTTTTCTTTGCTCTTTAATTTCACAGTTATTTTCATGCTTATGCTAGCTGATAGTTATTTTTATTATGACTGATAGACACTGTTCCTGTGTTAGAAGAGGAAAAAAAACTAATTAAAAAAGAAAAAAAGATATTTTGGGAAATGTAGAATTACATAACTTTGGATTTTTCATAATTGAGTGGCTTTTCTTGAAATCCTTTAAAAAGAGGTGCCTCACCCAATGTAGATTCTTTTCTGTCTTGAAAATAGGTAAATTATGCTTTTGAAGATGCTTCCAACTCTTGAATCCTTCTGTGTTACCTGTTTTTTTGCTTTGAGTTTAAACTTAATGCAAAGGCTGTCTTGAACTTAAACAGCCATAGCTATATTGTAATGACAAACGCCAATTTTGTGCCAGTTTGGTTATAGAATGTAAGGAGTTCACTGATACAAATTTTGGTATATGTATATTGTATTCTTTTCTAGCATGAAAGGAATAACTTTAAATAAACATTTAGCACAAGCACAGTATGGAAGTGTAAGGGAAAACTGTTCCAATATGATGTAAAAAACAATTTCCTAACAGCTGGCTTCTTTTTCCTTCCCATCTAGGGGCTTTGGTCAAGCAAGCCTTATGGTTCATCTCGAAGTATTGTAAGAAAAATTGGTACTAACCTCTCTCTTATACAGTGTCCAAGAGTTCAGTTTCAGGTAGGTGTCCTCAACAGTTTAGAATACATGTTTCACTGTACTGATAAAGGGATTTGCTCTTGCATCAAAAGATTTTAAGCAAACATGCAGTTCATTTAAATAAATGACTAGAGGGTTTATAAAAGCAGAATATGATAAACGGGGCACATAGGAGAATTAATTTACTTCTGTTCTTCCCACTTCCAGTTTAGATTTTCTCCAAATATGGATTCTTCAGCTTCTGTACTGCCTAAAACCTGAATCCATGTTGCTGTAATACACAGAATGAAACTTGAAACAAATTTTTTTTCCTAAGGAAATTGGAACTTCTAAAATGAGGCAATACAGTATTAAAAAGTTATTCTTGGAAAAAATATATTCATAAAAGAGAAAAATGTTTGAAACTTATTTCTATAAACAGTATTTATAAGCTAGGCTTAAGAGGCATGTAAAGATGAACATTGTTACTCAATATTTTGGAAAATAAACAACTTTATCAGAAAGTAAAAAATTAGTAACAAGGCAACAGGAGTACCCTGTTTGCTTTTGTTTTAAATAAAAGGCTACCACTGTCTAGGTGAAAGGGGAACATCAATTCTGTGTAGCTTTCTGGCTTCTTTGCTTTTAACTTCAACTGCATATAGTGGGAGGGTAAAGAGTGAGGGTAAAATCTTGAGGAGAAGAAAATCCTTGCTTTTTATAACAAGTCTTTCAGGAACAGATGGGAAAATGGAATCTGTTACACATAATCTCTTCAACTCTGTGTGTGTTAAGGATAGGGAGTGGGTATAGAATTGGAGAAATTTAGTGTTTGAAACTCAAGCTGGGAGAGGAATGTTTCCTGGGCCAAGCAAGAGTGAGGAACATGAAGATGAATGGTGGGAATCATCACCCACACTAAGACAAGGTAATTTCCACACAGCTAAATTTTTCACTGTTTAAATTAATATCTTTATCCTACATGAAATGTAAGAACAATATTGTGAAATTATAGTAGCAAAATCAGATAGTTCAGGTTATCATAGAAGCCTTTTCAGTGAGATAGTAAAAGCCATGCTAACATTTTGCCTCTCTTAAATAATTACATTGATGAGGCAACAATCTTCCACTACTAGTGGCTTGGTGAGACTTAAAAAATAAATATGTATGTTGTGGGAGTGGGGATATATGCACGTGAGAAGGACAACAAGATGACATGCTGGGTTTAAACTTTTGGATACATGATTAATAGTAGTTATGCCAGCAATAACGCTCTGTGTGCCTCAGATTTGAAAGCTAGTGAAGTCTTCCTATAATGTGTCTTGATTTTCTGTGCTGTAAAGGCCATACAAGGGAAGATGATGCTCATTTGCAGACAGTTAGCTAAATACTGCTTTCTCTTAATATGGTATATGAAAGAAGACATTTCTGTTTTATGTACTTGCAAAAAGCTCTAAGATACACCTGGGGAATCTTTTCCTGAATATTTTCAGTGTTGAAATAATATTTAGTCTTCATGCAATTTTTGCGTTAGAGTAAGTAAAATATTTGCCTTTTCTTCCTCTTAAAGAGATGTTCAGTCAGCTTTGCTTAGATTTTATGCACATTAAGTATTAAACATTCATCTTCTATTAGATGAAAGGAAAGGATCCTAAAAATAGAAGTACAATTGTCAGTTTATTGAATTACAAATATGAATTTTAAAATTTGAGCCTTGAAACACATTAAAATGGGTATGGTTTATGCAGGCTTTAAACTATTTTAATATATAAACTGCTGAACATGTAAAAGTATGATGCTAACATCTGTTTTTTATGTCTTTATCTTAGCATTAAGATTCTATAGTGAAGTTCAATACCGGTCTCGATCATTTTTTATGCTGTTGCAACTGACGCTTTCCTATAGCTGTCTCTTCCTCTTTCTTTCTTGCCTGCTTTAGCTATATTATGAAAGGACCATGCACTGAACCTTGCTGTAAGTCCCTTTATTTAAAAACCAAAGCAAACTGCTTTATCTGAGGGTGCATGTATATCATCAGTGTTTCTAACTTCATCTAAGAGCCACTTTCGACAGGTCTTCATTTTCCTTGTGATAAATGGATAAGAGGTACTGAAAGAATCGTTCTGTTATGTTCATTCTTTCTTCTTTTCTAGTATGCTTTTGTTCATCTAGTCTGAAAAAAATGAGTAGTAGCCTAACATTTTGAGTTTTGAGGTCTACTGACTGTTGTAGTATCTGTCTCTGTGAATCTTGCCATAGTCAACATTTAAATTAATTGCTAAATGCTGCTTATGTATTCATTAAGCAGTGGCAGAGCTTACCTTATATACTCTATATGGCATGAACAAAGGAAAATGGTTCATATACTACTTCTCTCTGTCATATTTTTTAGGTTTATCTGTAGTCTTTAGGAGAAGATAAATTTAAACTTACCAATATAGCCTAGGTGGATTCAACCAAACCTATCAGACTGTCTCTCAAGATGGTGTCCTTCAGCTACAGCATCTCTGTTCTAGTCCCATGCTTCTCCTGTTTGTCTGATGGAAACCTGATAACTCAATAGAAGTCTGCTATGGAATTGGTGTGCATGTAGAATTTACTGGGCTAATTTGAAAAATCATAGCAAGTTTGTCTTTCCAAGAAGTATTTCCAAATGCCTGATATCTAACTGTATTAGTAATTTGAAATTAGTTTTTAGTCTATCCTTAAATGTATAAAAATATTTGTTCTACTTTCCACTTCCTGGAGCAAACAAAAAGTAGGGATGCTGCTGTGATTATCTTCAAGCAGCGTTTCCATAGTGTAGTGGGTATCACGTTTGCCTAACACGCGAAAGATCCCTGGTTCAAGACCAGGAGGAAACACTGGCAGGGCTGACTCTTTGGGAGTTGGACTCAATTCTTTATGGGTCCCTTCCAACTCAAGATAGTCTGTGATTCTATGACATCCACTAAAACAGTACAGTGTGTGTAGTCTTTTGTTCAGAAATTTGTGGAGCAATGGGTCTGAAATCCACAGGTGTGCATGTGTCTGTGTGCAGCATGCATGCACACTAAAATAGGCAAAAAAGCCTGTGAAAGAAGTGGGGTAAGCTACTACATAGTTTCCAGAGAAAGAGAAGCAGACTGCTTTCACTGTTTCGTTCAGTTCCTGCCATCCAGTAGAATTTGGCCTCTGTTTTCAGCTCTCTGTTCTCCATTTCAGGTGCTGGCAGAGCAGTTATCCAAGTTTTCTTCAGCTGATATTGCCTAGAGGGGAATAGGGTAGTCACAGAGTTGTTTAAGCATTATTCTTCAGACAGTGAGGGTTTTAAGAGTTAGGTGTTGGCTTTTAACCTCTAAATTAAAGTAAAAATTCTGAATTAATTTCAAAATTTAAAATCCACTGCTGTGGAAGGCCTTGTTGTTTTTAGGGATAGAGAAAAGAAACATCTGTATATAGGGTAACAAGCAGATTCTGTTTACATATAAATATGAATAAAAAAGGAAGAAGAAACTTGCATCACAACATAACAGAAGGCTTTCTACTAAATGTTGGATTAGAAGTTATTTATCTCACAATGCAGGAAACCTGGCAGAGGTAAATGCATCCCTTACTGTTGATTTATAAAATTATTTTTGATGCAAGTATGTGTAGGACCTTTATTTCAATGTGCCTTCAGTCTTTTCATGGTAATAGTTCCTCATGTGGCCATTACCATCAGGAAAATCTGTATCACCTGCAAGAAGTGGCTAACATATTACGGATTTTTTGAATTGCCATTAACATTAATACAGATGCTGTGGTCATGAAAATGTCTTTTTATTTTAAAAAAAGAAAAAAGCCAAGGAAACCTAAACAATGAAAATCCTACCACGCCGTATAGTATTCTCTAGACTGTTTTAAAGAGAGGCAGACTGTGATGGTATTAGGCACAACTGTTAATGTGATAAACATATTACCATCTGTGCTGATGCTACCTGGAAAAAACCCTGTTGTTTCCAAATGATCTGATGGTGCCAATACACACTCCTGGGAGCTGTGATAAAGACTCACATACAAGTTGCAAGAATGTGAGGTAAAGGTGACTAATCTCGATTTCCAAAGCTGTTAGTAACAATTCCTGGGGAAAAACAACACCAAACTCACAACTTCTATCATCCTGGGATTTGTGTATCAAAGGCCACAATTAAAATATCTGTGGATGTTCTTCAGAAATGGTTTCATCTCATCCAGACTGCAGTCCTACTGTGATAGGTCTGCTGCAAATTCAGGTTGATGTGAACATTTCATAGTTGCTGCTACATAATAGTTTCCTCTTTACAGAGGTGAGTTGCCTTGAAAATTGACTTAAGTGCTAACAGGCTGGATCAAAGCTGTTTTCAACAGGCTTGCATACTACCACCATCTTTGTCAGCATTACTTGCTTCTTGGCCCCTATCAGCAGCAGGCAGCACTTAAACAGCTGCAACAACTCATGCAAATTTGGCCTGTGGATTGTATGTCATACAGCAAAAGAGGTGGCATTGTTGCGTTGGAGATAAGTAACTCAAGGTGGCAGACTGAGCAGAAGACATTACTAAAAGATGTTTCAGTAGCTTTTATAGGCTAAGATGCTGAGACCAGGCTGCTCAGTAGTCCAGTGACTGAGTACACAAGCCTTTGTCTAACCGGGGAGGCAGCCAGTATTTCAAAGTAGATTTGAAACCATTTTGTATAGTTGTGGCTATGGAGCAGGTATTGATGGTCCAAACAATTTTTCAAATCTCTATTCAGGTCACTTAGCTGTAAATCTAAGGTTCCAGTCTCTGGAGCCTTGCTCACCTTTGGCTTCAAACAGCTGTAAAGCTAATGGCAGAACCATGCTGGAAAATGGTTAATTTGTTTGGCATGCTGTAAATAAGATTGTTAGCAAATAGTGTATTCTATTATGATTGCATCCTACCTCTCACTCAAAGTCTTTGTGATTACTGAGCTAGTAGAAATGGCACTTCCCCCCCCCGCCTTCCCCTGTGTGATGTATACACCTTTATTCTTGTACAGAAATTCTGGAAGTTTTAGGGGAAGGGGAACGTACTTCACCAGATTTTCACTTTCAAAATAATACTAAATCAGAGCAAAAGACTTAAGAATTACTAGTAGCCTTAAAGTCTCTTTTAAATACTCGTCATGAATATAATTTGAAAACATATTATTTGAGTTAATATAGCAAACTGTTTGAGAATGTCAATGTTTGTTTGTCTTTAAGGTAACAATTTGCATTGGATTTTTAGTGTTCAGTAATGTCATGTGATAGTATGTGTAGTTAGCCATGAACCTCTGTAAAGTGTTCAGCAGACTAGATTGAATAGTTTGAAGTCAGTGAAATGGTTCTGGACAAAGCCCAGGATGAGCTTTGTGTGCTCACAAAGTGAGCTCATAAGTGTGCTGAGTCTACAGATATGTTTCATGCATGTCTGTGTTAATAGTTGCATGTAGCCTCACTAAAAGTATTCAGTAAAATAACTGTGACTTGGGCTGGGAATGATGAGTCTAAAACCTTCAATTTTGTCTTTAAAATTTAGCTTACCTCTCATGCCACAGAAGAAAACCATCCTTATCAACTTAGAGACGATGCAGTGGCCTCCTTTGCAGATGTGGGATGGATTGCTCAAGAAGGTGGTGAAGACTCTACAAGGCTCAGGTATGCTCCTCAAGTCTTCTCTTTGAACTTCTGAACTGAGAGTGGGAAGCCTAGCTTGTCCAGTTGAGAATCTACTGTGCATTGCAATTAATGGAGAGCACTTGAATGCTGAGAGAAGAGAGGGGAAAGAGTGATAGAAAAGGTAGAGTCTGGAAAAGAAGCAGTAGAGGTGAATGAAAGACTGGTTTGAGAACACAGAGGAGATTGGCTTTATTGGCTTTTTTTGACTGTGTTTTTTATTTACTATTTATTTCAAAGAATAGCATGTGACAGCTTTAAGCAACCTTGTCCCCACAAAAATGTCTGCTGTAGTATGGCACAATTGCTGGCACTGATTCTCCAGTTCTCCTGAGTTTCATTAATATGGGGTGGTGTACTGTGCAGCTCCCTAATTAGCAGCAGTGGTCATTCTGACAATCCAGTAATTGGCACATAGTTTTTCACTTTTTTGGTTAAGGCTCTGCAGAATTAAAAAATTATGGTTTATATTTCGTCTTTAATCTTCATAACAAAACCTGGCAGGGAAGCATCTGAGCACACCTGTGTCCAGAATGATGGGATAGGTACTGTTGTGTTGGACAAAGAGCACTACATAGCACTGTAACTGCATAGGTTGGCTGAAGTGATGAAGTTCTGTATTCCAGCCTACACAAATTGCTGCTCAGACTAGCCAGAAATAAAGGTACAATTCTGTAGTGCAGAGGAAGTTTTTCTTCTAAACAAACTAACCTTCCAGAGAAGGGCACAGATTGTTGGCTTCAGAGATTACTGGAGGATACCGTTCTTAATTTGAAAGCATGAAATAGGTTAGTAATGACCTAGATGCCCTCCAACATGACTTGCCACAGTGAAGCTGTGCATAACAAATGTTCTGGCACTGCCACATTAATTTCACAAACTCAGAGGGGAGTCACAGACATCAACGCTTGTTTGGGAAACACTATTTGTAAAGTGTATTTGGTGTGAAGGAAATTAACTGGCCAATACTACTTATGCTTGCACAGAAATATTTTGTTTAAGGATTGAACTGTAATGCTGTTACGTTTAATGGAGACAACACGGAGAATAGCTCTTTGGTGCTTCAAAGAACCTGTTACGAAAGATGTAGGACTGGCATATTTGCTGAGAAGTCTGCATGTGAAGGGGGGAAGGGGGACAGATGGATGTGGGATGGGACTAAAATAATCTTGCAGATATATAGTGACCTTAAGGCAAACAGCTTATAATGGAGCATGGTAAGTGAATTACTTAGCAAATATGAGTATTTCAATGTGCACCATTTATTACGTCTGTGCATAGTATTATGTAGTAGAACTGGCATGCATTAGGTGTTTTCCAGGCATTTGAAAGTCTCTTGTTTCAAACAAGATCACATAGTTAAATATATATTCACTGTATAATTCAGTAAACGGTCTTGCAGACATAATTTTTTCTGCAAATGCAGTTTTATAGAGGAAGCAACTAAATGACAAATCATTTTTCCCCTACCCCTAGTCAGAGCAGTAGTGACAATTCAGGCGTAGTATTTTTCCCCAGTGTTAGATTCCAATCAAGGCATTTCCTTAAAACGCTATTACTGCTCCGAGCAGAAAATACCCTTTGTTGTTTAGCGATGCTGTTCCTTTAAAGAGTTTCCAGAAGGCAGGTTTTAAAGGGTGAAGTGACCACTGGCTCCTTCCACCTTATTTAGGGAGAGCAGGGAGATGGCTGCTATAGGAAGCACCCTGTTCTCTTCTCAGCTTTAGTTACTCTCTATTCCTATCTAGATAACAACACCTAAATTTTAACATCGTTGATAATACTCAATTCTGCTGGATCAAATTTCTGCTTGATCAAATTTCTGCAAGTTGTGCTGATGTTTTCTGTCAGTGTCATGGAATACTCAAATGTGTATCTAACCACAGATTGAGGTGGTCAGAGCACAGGGCTTGTTCTAGCCTTAAATCTTGGCTCTTGGTTTAAGTCTAGCATAGCTGCAGATCTAACATGATGCACATCCAGAGTAGCTTAATCCATGAATCCAGAGCGATGGGGCTCTTAAAGTTTAGAGATCTGGAGCCATTCTACACATTTTGAAGAGTCCTCACTAGCGACTGTTCTTACTCTTCTGTTTTAATAAATAACGGAATCCTGACCTGCCTGAGAAGTTTTGGAATTGAAGCTAAGGAAGATTGAGGAGTTAAGTATGTGGTCATATTTTGCAGTTACAATGTTTGTGATAATCTGTTGTCATTAATCCTTATCAATTTTTCATACAGAGTCATAGAATAAGTTGGGTTGGAAGGGACCTTTAAAGGTCATCTAGTCCACCCTGCCCCCTGCAATGAGCAGGGACACTTCCAACTAGATCAGGTTGCTCAGAGCCTTGAGATAAACTGTTTAAAAATGGTGGTGTCTTCAGTAAATGAAACCTTTTGTAAGTGCTTATTTGACTGCAGATGCTCAGTAATGCCTCAGTGTTTAACATAGTTCGAGCTTTGGTGGGTAATAGAGGAAGGCAACAGAGTTGCATTTTCATGCTTTTGTGAGAAAGAGGAGGGAAGCGTATGGATGCTTTAGAACTGTATGAAGTTTCCTTCTCTATAGTTTTATTTATCATGTTAGAAAACTAGATGTAAGACCTTTTCCCATTTACTGATAAGCAGCCCCTGCGCCACTAAGCTGTTTCACATACTCCATGCTCCCAATGCTGCTAAAACGGAGGACTGTCCCTTCAGAAGTCCAAAGTATAAAAATGTGCTGTGGAACTAAGAAATTCTTCCTTTTTCTTCAAAAGAATCAACTACAAGTGACTTTGCAGCCCGTGAGGGAAAAGTTGGAGCATTTGGGCAAAAAAATATGTAAATCTTAATACCAACAAAAAATATAATAGGTATGAGGCAGAGAAATAGATTGGGGTGAGGGGGAATGTATTTCCTTTTTCTCCTGAAATCAAGGATTCCACAAAAAGCTGGCTAGGGGAAGAGAAGAAATACAGCTTGCGATGCAAACTGAAAGGATGTGAAGCTCTTGCTTACTTTAAGTCATATGATGTCTTGGTGGAAGTGATTTGTGTAAAGCCCATTTTAAAGTTGGCCTTCAACTTTTATTCCTGGTTTGTATGTAACGGTGTGTTAGTTTTCATCTATAACAAAGCTTTTTAAAAAGGGGATCTTGTGATATTTTTGTTACAGGTCAGAAGTTTGGTCAAAAACAGCCCAGCCTCTTTCAGGTGAATTACATCCTTGTGGGAAGTCCCCATGCAGACAAATGTCCTTACAAAACTCATTGGAAGAAGCATCAGTGTCCAGGAGCACAGCAACCGCAAATGAAGAAGCTCTGCAGAAGATTAGTGCTCTAGAAAATGAACTAGCCACTTTAAGAGCACAAATAGCCAAAATTGTAATCTTGCAAGAACAACAGAACCTGACAGCAGGTATTAAATTTGCTGTACTCTTTGCACAAATTAACTTAATTAATTTGTGCCTTTTATAATTAATAATGTGCTAATTCATTTTTGTGAGATGCTGCAACACTGAACACTTCTCCATACTGTTTTGGTTAGTTTGGTAGAAGTATTAAATAGCTCTCAGAGCAAAGCTCATGATAAACATGATGGCTTAAACCAAACTAAAAGAATGTAACTTAATTGCTAACACTTAAGTCTTCCCATCCAGTAGTGAAACAGGCTGTCTGATATCATGAAGTAATCATATGAAATGCTAATTACACTTTTAGGATATGTAATATACCTCTGAAGTTTACAAAATAAATAACAGAAAAGGAGATTGTTTACTGGAATCACCTCTGGGATCAAACACATTGTTAAGATGGAACCAAAAGTGGTGTGCTGTTTCTGGTAGTAAACAGAGTAATTCTTCTTGTCCTGAGTTTCTTTCTCCTTTTTCCCTCACCTCTGACTGCCTTCCAGTTCTTAAGTCTACCATCTCCAAAGATTAGTGGGAGATGACCCTTGTTGACTGGAGATGATAAC